ATATATATATATATATATATATATATATATATATATATATATATATATATATATATATATATAATTTATGTTATTTATTTATTTATAAGAATATTAAAGTAATGAAAATCTTAGGGCCAGTATTCTGGATCAATTCAAATTCTGCTTCGCAAGGGATCTGGGAAAAAGAAGAAAAGGTAGTTTATGTTGTCATCTTTCTACTTCCTCAATCCTGGAACCGATCCTCAGTATAATTTAGAGCAGTCTAAAAAAGACAGGCACTCATCAACATTACACCACCAGAGGATCTCCCACACATTGATCATACACATACTACATCATGAATCAAAATACAAGACACTGGAGTGGATATTATACAGATAACACCAACCTTCTCAGAGAACTAATACTGATATTTTTACCTGTAACCAGTTCTTGCAAAACAACTTATTCCTTTTTTGGCAAATCTTACCCAGTTCAACAGATTTATTTTGGAGCTCTGAGGCAAGTATTTCTGACTCTTCTTCAAGTTGCTTCAATCTATTTAAAAGCATAATTAAAAAACAATATTTTTCCATGTAGGATTTAAACTAGAAAAGTCAGTCATATTTCTATTGGAAATACAATATGTCTTTCTGCCTGCTAACAAGCAGATAGGTAAATATACTATGCATATAGGCAAGTAAGCTGTGAGAAATTTAAGTAACAAACATTCTTTCAACATGTTGCTTGAATACCAGGCATAATAAAATTACACCTCTACCCTGATATAACGCTGTCCTCGGGAGCCAAAAAAAACCAACCGCATTATATCGAACTTGCTTTGATCCGCCAGAGCACGCAGCCCCACCCCCCTGGAGCACTGCTTTACCGCGTTATATCCAAATTCATGTTATATCGAGTCGCATTATATCGGGATAGAGGTGTAGTTAAAAAAAATTAGTTAAAAATAAATTGATAAAAAGATACGTTCCCAACATTTAGATTTTTTAAAATAAATGTTACATTTAAAAAAAAAATACATGTCCAGATTTTACCCTTAGACCACTATGAATCTGGAGTAACCATAGAAAAGTCAGTGCAGTTACTCCAGATTTACACCAATTTATGTGAGAGACAGTTTCTACTAGTGACATGACATTATAGTGCAATGCAGTCAATCTCCTGAAAAACTCCATTAAAAGAATTGAATAAAATACCCACTTTATAGATCAAATTCTAGTTTTGCTGAGATTAATTTTGATTACCATCAATTACTTCTTGCAAAAAAACCCAAACATTTTAATAACAAATGAAATGAAAGAACATTAAGTAGCACTAAATAGTAATACTATTATATACCCACTGAATGTCCATATCACTACATTTATTATTACTGAATATTTCTATTGCAGTACTGCCTACAGGTCCCAACTGAGATTAGGGACACATTGTGCTAAATACAACATAGACACACTAAAAGAAAGAACCGATCCTAAAAAGCTAACTATTCAGAAAAAAAAACCAAAGGATGTGGGAAATTAAGGATGATACTTTACAGGTAGAAAACTGAGGCACAGAGATTAGGTAGTTTACTCTAGGTCACACAGAAAGCTCTACGGAAGAGCTGGGAACTGAACACTGTTTAATGCCTTAAATCGCAAGATCATCCTTTCACTCTAAATGTAAATAATTTTTTAACCTATTTTGTTCTCTTTTCAGCAACTCTTTCAAATTAGAAACAGCAATTTCAAATTCTTCAACCACTGAGGCATGCAAAGCCCTAGTTTCTTTAAGTTCTTCCATTTGTGCTTCTTTTTCTACAGTGACTTCAATTAAGGTTTTCATTGCAGTCCGTAATTCGGTTTCTAAACTCTTCTGAGCAGTCTAAATAGAAAGAAGTGTAAAAAAATAAAATTTGTTGTAAATATGTGTAAGATGTTACCCCTCATATTCTTAATGGAAATGTGGTTATGATATAGGTATGACATATCTGAAATGTACTTTATACAAGATGGCTCATATAAGGTCTCATTGTGAAGGTTATGATTTACTGAATGTGTATATCCAATTTGTATGCATGTATCATTTTTGTATCTGAAGCTGGGAATATTGACCATGTCTCTGTATTTCAAATGTGCTACGTTGGATGAGGCCAAATAATGTTAGTGGCTTATTGAAGACAATGCACACAAGCATAAGGATTACCCCAGGAACTGTGTGCAATAGAATCCTCTCAGAGATAGCTTTACACAATGGGAACTGTTTGACCCAGGTCACAGCAAAAAAGCTTTCCAGCAAGTGGGGGGGGGGAGATATAAAAGAGGGACAATGACAACATGAGTGGCCTTACTCTCCCTACAACAACACACCTGAAAATACCTGAAGAACAAAGACTGAACTGTGGGAAGTGCTGGTCCCAGGCTGGAAGGATTTTTAGCCTGTGTAAGAAAACCTGGGAAAGCCAAGGCAACTTGTGCCTTAAGAATCTGCCAGCCTGTTTATCACTCAGGGTGAGAATTTGCTAATTTGTATCCTACCTATCTAGTGTGTTAAACTCAGTTTGCGACTTTTGTTTATTTACTAAGGTAATCTGCTTTGTTCTGTTTGCTATCCCTTTAGACACTTAAAATCTACCTTTTGTAGTTAATAAACTTATTTAGTTTATTATTAAACCCAGTTTATGTAATTTCTAAGGGGGGGAGAAGTCATGCACATCTCTCTTCACATTGAGGAAGAGGGCAGATTTTTATAAGCTTGCACTGTATAAAAAAAATCTGCACAGCGCAAGACAGTATTATTTTGGGTTTATCTCCCAAAAGGGGTGTGCACGTGAGTGCTGGGGGAGTCCTCTCACACAGAGCTGACTTCAGTCTGGCTGTAGCTGGGTGTGGCCCTACCTGTGTGTGTGTGTGTGTGCTGCAAGAGGCCGGGGAGCCTAATTCAGCAAAACAGGGAGTGGGAACCCAGGCTGGTGGAGAAGGAGAGGTTCAGTGAAATCCTAGTACATCAGGTGGCATCCCAGAAGGGGGGTCCAACTCGTCACAATGTGTAGTAGCAAGCAATTACAATTCAGGGTTTGGATGAAAAGTACTGACAATTGCTTGTACAAATTACACGTTTACCTTATTTATATTACATTTTGATTTGTAAAAAAAAGTTAGAGCAAGTCATACCTCTGTTTTTTGCAGCAAAACTTTAGCTTCTTCCAGTTCTCCCATCAAATGTTTCTGTTTGCTCTGTGATTCTTTTAACATTTCTTTTTGTTGTTCTAAATGACAATTGTTACAGATAAGATATACACTAATGTTTCTAAACATTGTGTCATGTACCAAACAATACATTTGATTGTACTCTACAATAATTTGTACGATATATGCCACTTAAATAATGTATCTATCTCAACGGTTTAGAAGAGAGACATGAGACAGCACTGCATACATATCACTTTTCATTATGTAAATATAAAATACAAGGAGTATCATACTTTATATATATTTTATTTATAAAATTTAATTAAATGTACCCATCCTAGGCACAACATGGTATAAAAAAAACACCTAACTATAAAACTTACAACCCTCAAAAATAAATATTAATTATTCCTCATCTACCCAACGAATGAGGACTCTCCCCACAATTTTACAAAGCGAAGGAAACAGAAATAACTTCATTACTGATAAAATGATATAATTTTTTGTCAAAATCACTAAAAACATACCACTATTTTTAAGAAGTATTTAATTTAATTAAAAATGGCTGATTAACAGTTAAGAAGACTGAAGTCCTTTCTTTGTCCTTTGCAAGTTTCACTCAAAAACTCATTGACATGTCTCAACCATGAAATGGAAGACCCCTTCTAAAAGCAGTTCAGTTTCCAACTCCATTCAATCCTTTGCCTTTTGCCTGCCTACAAGAATGTCAACTCTAATGCCATCTGTAATGGTATTTTTTGGATATGTGGAAACATGTCCAATAGAGAAGAGTGAAGCCACCATTTATTTCATTGGCTGCTGAACAACTGCTGGAAACTAACAACTTTCAGTAACTAGTGACCTAAGGTGGTCTACACAAAAATTGTACCCTTTTAGCTATATTGGGATAGTTAAAATGGAACTCCTCCCACAGTGTGGACACAGTTATACCAGTATAGCTTATTCCTATAATGGAATAAGCTATATTAGTATAAGAGTGTCCACACTAGCAGTAAAAAAAAAAAACACCACCACAAATAATAATAACTACACCCCCGAAACAAATTATTACATCGGTACAAAAACTATGCGTCCATTATACCGCTACAAAAACTGCTGGCGTATTGAGACAAAAACAGCCTACCATGCTGAACAACATTGTGTCTCAATGTTCTTGTTCTTTCTCATCAATCTGTCTGTATCCATCTGTTGTCTCATTTTATACTTAGATTATGAACTTTTGGGAGCAGGGACTATCTTTTATTTTGTTTGTACAGCACCTAGCACAATGGGGTCCTGGTCCATGACTGGGGCTCTTATTTAATACAATAATAAATAATTGTAGACCAGACCCTAGAGATGAAAGTTTGAACATACTGTTATGGCATAAGGTGCTAATTGTTTGTCCATTAGGGTGTCACTGATCTATAAGTCTATAATTAAAGAGACTGTGTGGATTAAAGCACTGGTCTGGCAGTTACAGCTTTGACACTCCTTTGTACTAAGAAGCAGGTGAACAATGCCAAGGCTCACTTTTCCAGGCCACGTGGTCTCAGTGAGTAGCCTTGGATTAAGGGTTTCACAGGTGTAATGTGCAGGGGCTGAGGGTGGGAAAAAAAGGACACAGGATGTGTTTAAAAGCAGCTGGGTTTGTTAGCAATTTGAGATTTTCCCTGGGGTGAGAGGAGAGCAAGACAACTGCTTCTTAGGACTGAGACAGGGGCACCTTACCTGAGGTTTCTACAAAAAGTATATGCTTATCCGATGTTTGTTACCAATTCCATTCAAGGAAACAGCACTTGTGTACATTTGGTAAACAAACAAATCACACTAACAAAATACCCAATTCCCGCTTCAAAACAGGAAAGTGATCTGCAAGGCCCCAATTTCCATCAGTGCTCAGCAAAAGAATAACCACCATGATCAATCTCTAGCTTTTCTGTCTCTTTCACTATTACAAAGTATCCTATTTGGATTATAATTGTTACCTGTTGCTTCTTCTAAATCAATAATCTTATCCCTTGATTCCTGCAACTGAACTGTGATGTCTCTCATTTTATTGTCTTTTTCACCACTTTGCACAGTCAAAACTGATAGCTAATGAAGTGAAGAGCAATTACAATATATAAATAACAAGGTCTAGAAAAGACTACTAACTTCATATTATTTTCACATTTGTATGTTATACGCAGGATTAGGATTTCATTACATAACTGTAGAAAAATGAATACTGCTCAAGAAAAAATAGGGAGGCATTAACCAAATGTCCACCAAAAAAAAGTGCTGCAGTCTAGAGACAGCAGATCTGCCATCAAAACTAGAGTGTAAGTTCCAACAGGATGGAGGTGTAGAAACTTATATTTAGGGAGAATGGATTATCCGTTCAGACTCTCAAGTAGTCTCCTGCTGTCATTTCCTACACTTACACCAGTGCCTGGTCAGACTGCTTGACACTCCTCAGATCCATTCTTCCCATGAACCAACAGGTCCAACTTCTGACCCTTCTCAGATTAAAAAAAAATAAAGAAATAAAACCTTCTTTCCATACTATTGATTACACTCCTAATACCACCACCACAAGTTTCCACAATCTGCCCACCTTCCTTGGCACCCTCAATACCATTACCACACCCTATTCCCTCTTCTAGTCTCAGTATTCCTCTAGTCAGTCCCTGGTCTGATCTGTTTCCTGATCCTTCCTCCCAGCTTCTGCATCATTGTCCTTCCCCCATCTCTTCTTCACCAGCAGATGTGGAATGAACCTTGCTCAAATATGAGGACTGTCAGAACTCAGTACTTATTTTTATGGTGCTTTGTGGTGAAAAAAATAATAGCATATAACTCCCATTAACATTTTAATTCAAACACCACAAAGCAAAAAGCACACAATTTAAATATCACTTATAATAATAATTTTCATCCTTCAAAAGTACAAAATCTTTTACAGACAAAGCACCTTTTAAAGAATTATTTTGGTTTTTCTGCACTCCAACTAAATTAGTCAACAACAACAAAAATCAGTCAAAATTAGTTGAAATTTTTGCTCCATATAATGCAAATTATATTTCCAAATAAAAATGTACAAATTGGACTTTACACTAAACAAACCTGCTTTTCCTTGACATTTATTTCCATTTTGTATTCTTTTTCAAGCTGTTCTACTTTTTCTGCTGCTTCTTTTACTTCAGAAATAAAATAAAGTGAATACTTAGTACTTAAACTAAATATACTTCAAGAAATCAAATATAATTATTTTAAAATATATGTATATTTGTATAGCTTTTTCATTATAGATTTACTGCTGAAGTTATGTTTGAAGTTATGAACCATTAAGAGAAAATATTTTTTGCACTGTCTCTCTACAGATTTATTCCAGTATTATGTAAAATGGGAAGTCAATGAGAATTTCATGTATAGAAATGATGCAAGGCTGGGGACTTAAGTGTAAATAAGCAATTAATGAGCCCAAATTTTTTGCTGGTATAAACCAGTGCAGCTTCATCATATATCAAGAAGGTAACTACAGAAAACAAGCAGTGCCATTGTGGGTGGGCTCCATAATTAGAAAAACAGTGTCTGAAAGATGCTTATGGTGATATGTACTAATACAAAACCCTAAAACAGAAGTAAAACAAGAACAAAGCTGACAGGCAGCAGCACAGACAGCTGCAGCGGCACAGGAGCCAGCAAACAGAGCTGTAAACAGGGGAGTTTGAGTGGGAGTTTGCAAGGGAAGACTAAGAGGAAGGCAGAGGAATAGACAGGCTAGTGAAGGGAGTGTCTGGTGTTCTGGCAGTGTTTTGGTGCTCGTTGGGGGCTTGTTTTGCTGTGGGTGGTGGTGTTTTGGTTTGGTTTGTGTTTCATGGACTATCAGGATTTACGTGGGAAGGCTATGACAGATACAGAGGCAGCAGGGGTAGTGACCCAAGCAGTGGAAGACACAATAAAGATGACTGGATGTGGAAGCTGCGGCATGTACATGATCCTGGAGAGGGTACATGAAAAGAGTTTTGTCTGCATGAAGTGCCACCTGATAGAGCTGATGGAAGAAAAGATCAGAGGATTGGAGATGCAGGTGGACACTCTGCTTGAGTTTAGAAGGGGGTTCAAGCAGATGATGGAGCAAAGACACGAGGAGGCTGAAGGGAAAAGCTCAGACTTGCAGATGGAAGCAGGACAAAAGAACTCTGAGGGGAGACTGCTAGGTGAGGAAAGTGGACAGTGGATGCATGTGACTAAGAGAACCAGGCAGAGGAAAAGACGGGCTAGTGAAGGAGAAATAGAGCTCAGGAACAGGTTTGCGGAGTTGGAAAATGAAGAAGGGGCACAGCAGATGGTCACTGAAGATGAGAGGGCAAGGAAGAAGAGAAGAGCAGCTAGTCCTATAGGAAGAGGGGAAGAGTCAATGGAGATAACACCAAATATGAGCCCCAGGAGGATACGGGCTGGGTTACAGAGGATTGCAAGGGAGAATAGGAATCGAGAGGACTTGCAGCCAGAGGGAACAGGGGATACACCGGAGAATTGCACCATCACCAGGAAAAGGCAGGTCTACGTGATTGGGGACTCCTTACTGAGAATAGACAGGCCTGTAACCAGAGCTGATCCAGAGAACAGAAGGGTGTGCTGTCTGTCAGGTGCTAAGATACAGGATGTGGACCTGAGGCTGAAGAGGATCCTAATGGGAGCAGGAAAGAATCCACTGATTGTCCTTCATATGGGAACAAATGATACGGCTAGATTCTCGCTGGAACGTATCAAGGAAGACTAGGCTAGGCTGGGGGAGACACTTAAGGAAATCGAGGCTCAGGTGATCTTCAGTGGGATTCTGCCTGTTCCTAGAGAAGGGCAACAAAGGTGTGACAAGATTATGACGATCAATAGATGACTCAGGCAGTGGTGCTATAAGGAGGGCTTTGAGATGTATGGCCACTGGGAGTCATTCATGGACAGAGGACTGTTCCTCAGGATGGACTTCACTTGAGTAGGGAGGGAAATAGACTTCTAGGATGGAGGTTGGCACAACTGATTAAGAGAGCTTTAAACTAGGAATCTGGGGGAGATGTCCAGGTAATCTCCACACCGGATTTTAACATTGAGAGGGAAGAAAACAAAGTAAGAAAGGATACAGCCGTGGGTAGGAGAATGGACATAAGGAAGAAGGGTAGTGTAGATACCAGTCTAATAGGTGATACTGGCAGTAGAATGTCTGTGCCTAATGGAGTAAAGAATGTGAGCGAAGCCAAACAGCAAAAATTAAGATGTTTGTACACCACTGCGAGGAGCCTAGGTAAAAAAAAAAAAAAATGGAGGAACTAAAGTTACTGGTGCAGGAAGTGAAACCAGATATTATAGGGATAACAGAAACATGGTGGAATAGTAGTCATGACAGGAGTACAGGTATTGAAAGGTATATGCGGTTTAGGAAAGACAGAAATAAAGGCAAAGGTGGTGGAGTAGCATTGTATATCAATGATGAGGTAGACTGTAAAGAAATAAGAAGGGATGGAATGGATAAGACAGAGTCTGTCTGGGCAAAAAATCACATTGGGGAAGAAAGCTACTAGAGCCTCCACTGGGATAGTGCTTGGGGTGTGCTATAGACCGCCGGGATCCGATTTGGATATGGATAGAGACCTCTTTAATGTTTTTAACGAAGTAAATACTAATAGGAATTGTGTGACCATGGGAGACTTTAATTTCCCAGATATAGACTGGAGAAGAAGTGCTAGTAATAATAATAGGGCTCAGATTTTCCTGGATGAGATAGCTGATGGATTCCTTCACCAAGTAGTTGCTGAACCAACAAGAGGGGATGTGTGGCAAGGTGACGACTCACGAGCACGGCGCCTCCTGCTGGTCGTCCTGGGAATTAACTCTTCCAGCCCAAAGCGCCCTCTGCAGGCCGGTGTCTTGCCTGTCGCTGGCCCCCGTGTCCCTCCTGGACCCCGGTGCCCCTCTACGTCAGGGTTCTGCCCCAGCAGTAAGCTACAATCTAGGTCCCCCCACCCAGGGGAACCCCAACCCTCTATCCATCTTGCCTCAGTGGCTACTGCCAGTCACCATCTAGCCCCCACTCACTGGGGCAGACTGCAGTCTGTAAACCACTCATCATTGGCAACGTGGGGGTTAGGACCTGCTGCCTTTGCCTATCTCTGGGCTGCCCTTCTGCAGCCCCAGTACCTTTTCATAGGCCCTTTTCAAGGCCTGCAGCCTGAGGTTTTATCAGGCTGGAGCTCCCCAGCTCCCTCTGCCCTTTCCCAGCACTGCTCCACTTCAGGTACCCTTCTCAGCTTGCAGGCAGCCAGGTCCTTGTCTCTCAGAAGCCAGAGAGAGAGACTCCCTTTTTGAGCTCCTGGCTCACAGCCCTTTTATAGGGCCAGTTGCAGCCTGATTGGGGCGTGGCCCCAGCTATGGCTGTTTCCCAATCAGCCTAGCCTTTTGCATTGGTAGCCCTCTCCAGGGCTGCTTTCATCCCCTGTTCTGTAGGAGTGGGGCAACTGCTCCACTACAGGATGCCATTTAGAAGAAATGGTTGTAGGGGACAACCTTGGTTCGAGCGATCATGAGCTAATTCAGTTCAAACTAAATGGAAGGATAAACAAAAATAGATCTGTGACTAGGGTTTTTGATTTCAAAAGGGTTAACTTTAAAAAAATAAGGAAATTAGTTAGGGAAGTGGATTGGACTGAAGAACTTGTAGATCTAAAGGCGGAGGAGGCCTGGAATTACTTCAAGTCAAAGTTGCAGAAACTATCAGAAGCCTGCATCCCAAGAAAGGGGAAAACATTCATATGCAGGAGTTGTAGACCAAACTGGATGAGCAAGCATCTCAGAGAGGTGATTAAGAAAAAGCAGAAAGCCTACAAGGAGTGGAAGATGGGAGGGATCAGCAGGGAAAGCTACCTTATTGAGGTCAGAACATGTAGGGATAAAGTGAGAAAGGCCAAAAGCCATGTAGAGTTGGACCTTGCAAAGGGAATTAAAACCAATAGTAAAAGGTTCTACAGCCATATAAATAAGAAGAAAACAAAGAAAGAAGAAGTGGGAGCGCTAAACACTGAGGATGGAGTGGAGATTAAGGATAATCTAGGCATGACCCAATACCTAAACAAATACTTTGTCTTTAATGAGGAGCTTAGGGATAATGGTAGGATGACAAATGGGAATGAGGAAATGACGGTAGATATTACCACATCCGAGGTAGAAGCCAAACTCAAACAGCTTAATGGGACTAAATCGGGGGGCCCAGATAATCTTCATCCAAGAATATTAAAGGAACTGGCACATGAAATTGCAAGCCCATTAGCAAGAATTTTTAATGAATCTGTAAACTCCGGGGTTGTACCGTATGACTGGAGAATTGCTAACATAATTACTATTTTTAACAAAGGAAAAAAAGGTGATCCAGGTAACTACAGGTCTGTGAGTTTGACATCTGTAGTATGCAAGGTCTTGGAAAAAATTTTGAAGGAGAAAGTATTTAAGGACATTGAGATCAATGGTAATTGGGACAAAATACAACATGGTTTTACAAAAGGTAGCTCGTGCCAAACCAATCTGAGCTCCTTCTTTGAGAAGGTAACAGATCTTTTAGACAAAGGAAACGCAGTGGATCTAATTTACCTCAATTTCAGTAAGGCATTTGATACGGTTCCACATGGGGAATTATTAGCTAAATTGGAAAAGATGGGGATCAATATGAAAACTGAAAGGTGGATAAGGAACTGGTTAAAGGGGAGACTACAACGGGTCATACTGAAAGGTGAACTGTCAGGCTGGAGGGAGATTACTAGTGGAGTTCCTCAGAGATCGGTTTTGGAACCAATCTTATTTAATCTTTTTATTACTGACCTTGGCACAAAAAGTGGGAATGTGCTAATAAAGTTTGTGGATGACACAAAGCTGGGAGGTATTGCCAATACAGAGAAGGACCGGAATATCATACAGGAAGATCTGGATGACCTTGTAAACTGGAGTAATAGTAATAGGATGAAATTTAATAGTGAAAAGTGCAGGGTCATGCATTTAGGGATAAGAATTTTTGTTATAAGCTGGGGACGCAACACTTGGAAGTAACAGAGGAGGAGAAGGACCTCGGAGTATTGGTTGATCACAGGATAACTATGAGCTGCCAATGTGATATGGCTGTGAAAAATGCTAAGGCGGTCTTGGGATGCATCAGGCGAGGTATTTCCAGTAGAGATAAGGAGGTGTTAGTACCGTTATACAAGGCACTGGTGAGACCTCATTTGGAATACTGTGTGCAGTTCTGGTCTCCCATGTTTAAGAAGGATGAATTCAAACTGGAACAGGTACAGAGAAGGGCTACTAGGATGATCCGAGGAATGGAAAGGAGACTCAAAGATCTTAGCTTGTTTAGTCTAACCAGAGCCGGCTCAGGCTTTTTTGCTGACCCAAGCGGCAAAGGAGGAAAAAAAAAAAGCCGCGATCGGCGGCACTTCGGCGGTGGGTCCTTCGGTCCGAGAGGGACCCGCCGCCGAATTGCTGCCGAAGACCCAGATGTGCCGCCCCTTCCCATTGACCGCCCCAAGAACTTGCTTCGTTCGCTGGTGCCAAGAGCCAGCCCTTAGCCTAACCAAAAGAAGGCTGAGGGGAGATATGATTGCTCTCTATAAAAATATCAGAGGGATAAATACCAGGGAGGGAGAGGAATTATTTAAGATCAGTACCAATGTGGATACAAGAACAAATGGATATAAACTGGCCATCAGGACATTTAGACTTGAATTAGATGAAGGTTTCTAACCATCAGAGGAGTGAAGTTCTGGAACAGCCTTCCAAAGGGAGCAGTGGGGGCAAAAAGACATAGCTGGCTTCAAGACTAAGCTTAGAATATCAGGATTGGAAGGGACCTCAGGAGGTCATCTAGTCCAACCCCCTGCTCAAAGAAGGACCAATCCCCAGACAGATTTTTACCCCAGTTCCCTAAATGGCTCCCTCAAGGACTGAACTCACAACCCTGGGTTTAGCAGGCCAATGCTCAAACCACTGAGCTATCCCTCCCCTCCAGTTTATGATAAGTTTATGGAGGGGATGGTATGATGGGATAGCCTAATTTTGGCAATTAATTGATCTTTGACTATTAGCGATAAATATGCCCAATGGCCTGTGAGGGGATGTTAGATGGGGTGGGATCCGAGTTACTATAGAGAATTCTTTCCTGGGTGTCTGGCTGGTGAATCTTGCTCACATGCTCAGGGTTTAGCTGATCGCCATATATGGGGTCAGGAAGGAATTTTCCTCCAGGGCAGATTGGCAGAGGCCATGGGGGTTTTTCGGCTTCCTCTGCAGCATAGGGCAAGGGTCACTTGCTGGAGGATTTTCTGCACCATGAAGTCTTTAAACCATAATTTGAGGACTTCAATAGCTCAGACATAGGTTGGGGGTTTGATACAGGAGTGGGTGGGTGAGATTCTGTGGCCTGCGTTATGCAGGAGGTCGGACTAGATGATCATAATGGTCACTTCTAACCTTAAAGTCTATGATTCTATGACAGGAAAATAAATGTATGCAGTGTTGTTGTAGCCATGTTAGTCCCAGTATATTAGAGAGACAAGGTGGGTGAGGCAATATCTTTTATTGGACCAAATTCTGTTGGTGAGAGAGAGAGAGAGATTTTTAGAGCTATACAGCACTCTTTGGGTTTGGAAAATGCACTAAATACCCCAACAACAACTATGTGGGCGAAACAAGACAATCACTATACTCAAATTAACTCTCACAGAAAAATGATAAAAGACAAAAAATATGGTATCATAGAATCATAGGCCTGGAAGGGACCTCGAGAGGTTATCTAGTCCAGGCCCCTGCACTCATAGCAGGGCTAAGTATTATCTAGACCATCCCAGACAGGTGTTTGCTTATCACTTGTGCATGAACACTTTTCACAAAGCAATTACTTTATATCTGACCTATAAGTCCCCATCCTCATTGGAAACCTGCATAACACCTTCAAAGAATGAACCTGGGAGCTTAAATTCATAATTTTGCTAGATTCTAAAAATCTTGGACTGAATTTATGGCTTATCACAACAATCTGTAACCTACTTACCCCCCCAATAACTGGGGTGGTGTTAACAGGCATTTCACCTTCAATGGTCCCTTGAGATGTGTGTTAACTTTTTATGCTAAACAATCTGTCACCGCTTGTATTTAGCTGAACCTGTGACTCTGAGTACAATTCTTAGACCTGAAGAGGAGCTCTGTGCAGCTTGAAAGCTTGTCTCTCTCACCAACAGAATAAAAGATATTACCTCCCTATCTCTCAGGTGAATAATGTTATTTTCAAGCTTTTAGAGCAGTGTTTCTCAACCTGCGGCCCGCTTGCGGCCCAATCAGCACAGAGCTACGGCCCATGTGACATCCTCAGGGCCACAGAGGTAGCATTGGATGTGGCCCACAATGGTAAATAGGTTGAGAACCACTGTTTTAGAGTATTACAAGTATACAGGTTCCAAACCTACTCCCACTATATTAAAGGGAGTTTTGCCATTGACTTTAAGGGGAGTAAGATTAGGCCAAATGAGTACAAAGAATGGATGAGAATCTCTTTTATACCCCTTTTTAGAACCTAGTTGACCTTCCTCAGGAATTGTTGCCATATTGTGGAACCAAGTTATGCTGTAATAAGGGCATCTGCTCCCCTTACCACCACATAAGCATGTCCTATAATCATGCTTAACAGTGTGCCTATAATTCATTGGTTCTAATAAATCCCATCATTCCTGCCAAAAGTGCATGTTATGCTATCTCTAAGGATCAAAGAGATTGTTACATATACAGAGTACATTATGAGTATTGTAAACATTAGGCAGAATTCTCACATTTAAAACACATTTCCAATCTGGAGTTCTCTGCTTGCACACGAAGTTCTTCAAAAGCCAATATCATTCTCTAAAAAATAAAATCTAGCAATAAATGTTCACAGACAAATGATTTCCTATAATGAAAAAGAAATGTACATACCATTTAAAAATATGCAGTATTATAAGCCAATGGTAATGTTTCCAGATTAAAAAATACTTTGTTAAAACAGAGTTACAGTTGTGAACAGACAGCTATTAATTTAAATCAATATTATTAGAACACTAATTATTTTAAAAATTAGAAATTCAAGTAATTCCATACTTAGATGGTAAGTTCTTTAGAGCAGGGACCATCTTTTTGCTAGCTATTTGTACAGTGTTTAACATAATGGAGCCCTGGTGCACAACATGGTGGTGCCTAGGTGCTATCACAGTACAAATAATAAATAAAAGTCAAAGGTTAAAAAGACAAACATTTAACTTAACTATTTTAATATCATATTCTCTACCCCAGATAAAAATGCCTTTCCCTTCTCATTGACAAATATTCAAAATTCTCACTATATCCCCACGGAACTTCAGAAAAAAACTTAAGGTCAAATGTACTTTGCAAGACTCTACTGATAGTTTTACAATTACTTTGTTTAAAATACCAAAGTCCAGACAAAAAATTGTGCAAGAGAACTTAATACCTCCCTAATCTTCCATTTACTCATCTGTTCCTCCACAAAATATATTAAGGGTTTGTCTACACTACCACTTAAGTTGATGTAACTTAGTCATTTAGGGATGTGAAAAAGCCACCCCCCGAGCGACATAATTTCCATCGACTTAAAATGGCATATACACCATGCTATGTCAGCGGGAGACACTCTCCCGCCAACATAGCTTCCACCTCTCGCTGGGGTGGAGTAATTATGACGACGGGAGAGTGCATAGTGTGGTAGTGTAGACCAGCCTTAAGACTAAATGTTCACTCTACTTACTATGCTGTACTTAAAACTGGTGTATATTTTCAATTCTTATGTCATAATATAATTGTATTGCACCTTATAATGTTTGTAAGCATGTTTTGTATGAACACGTATACATTTTTCAAATAAAGTTCTTTATGTTAAAAAAAACACCACCAACCGACTAGAACAAACTCTTATAATTATGTTCTTATCAAAGACTTGGGCACTTGGCACCAGTAGCTGCCCAAGTGACAATGGAAGGGAATGCTGGAGAGACTGTGGGAATTCTTGTTTTATTTTTATAAACAATCCACGTGACTCAGTTTTACTTTGTATTGTTACCCACTAGGTGCAAAGAGGTTAACTTCTCCCCAGACACAGAGAAGCGAGACATAAGTGGATGTCACCCTTGAGAGACAATGGGAGACCCAATGACTGAAAATTAACTTTTAACTGTCTGGGAGACAAGGAAGGCTGCATCTACAACAGGGGTAGGCAACCTATGGCACGCCTACCACCTTCGGCACGCGAGCTGATTTTCAGTGGCACTCACACTGCCTGGGTCCTGGCCACTGGTCCAGGGGTTCTGCATTTTAATTTAATTTTAAATAAAGCTTCTTAAACATTTTAAAAACCTTATTTACTTTACATACAACAATAGTTTAGTTATATATTATAGACTTAGAGAAAGAGACCTTCTAAAACAGTTTAAAATGTATTACTGGCATGCGAAACCTTAAATTAGAGTGAATAAATGAAGACTTGGCACACCACTTCTGAAAGGCTGCTGACCCCTGATCTATAAGGTGCAACTAGAATGGTTTTTGAGACTTGCTGCTGCCCAGAGCAGCGAGACAGGTTCAGAGAGAGTGAGACTAGGATAGATTCAAGGATGTCATGGAACAGTGCACAGTTGTTTTCTGCCAATATAGACTCTGTTAAGTTTTCCATGATGATCTAAGGACTCTCAAATGTAGTGTTCCAACTGACTAATAAATGCCGGCTTGTTTTGAAAAGGCTACCTACCCTCTGTCACTGCAAATACTGGTTATATTGCTCCATAAAGTAGTGGAAGTTTCTAAAAGGAGTCTGAACTTGTTCAGACTTGCTGTAGAACCACAGAGAAAAATCAAGAGTGCTGGCGCCTAAAGGCCCAGCCTCGGAGTTGTACAACTGTGGGTCTCACCCTTGTAAAAAGCAAAGGGCTTGGCAAAAAATAGGGATACTCCAAAGAAACTGTATAAAGGCTGGGGCTATAAGGATCCCGGGATTTGGGTCCTCAGTTTTGGCAGGTCTACAACCCAGGGTTTTTTTGTTTGTTTGTTTGTTTGGGGGAGGAGGGGCTGGGTCTCAGACAGTCCCTTGTCGCCACCAGTGAAGACAGACAAAGCAGTATCTCACTAGTCCTAGAAGATCAGGACTCACAGGAAGGTCCTATTGGAATGCCCAAGGCCTAGAGCCATCTGATTGGCTCACACCCACTACTTACACCAGGAAGTGTCCCAGGCAGGGCTGTCCGAGCAACTGTGCAGACTCTTTGATGCTGCTGCAACAGACCTTACTCTTCTCTGTCTTCTGCAATCTGCATCCAACCTTATTCCTAGTTCCACTCAACTCTTGTCCTGTTCCTGATCCTTATCTTGCTCCTTCCCTTGTTTTTAAGTTCCTGCCTTCTTCCTGATCCTTGCTTCATCTCTGGTTCCTGCCCCTATACCTTGTTCTAACAGCCCTATCAATCCTGTCTCTGATCCCCAGCTTGTTTTCTGGCTCCGGTCTTTGACCCCCAATTACCAAATCTCCTGTAGATCAATGACAAATGTGTTTGTATTTAAGAAAATCTCAGCATTCACTTCAACTCAATTCAGCTGTTTAAATGTAGAGTATTTTGAAACCTCTTACAATCAATCACTTACCTCAATATTATTATTAAGTGCCATATATAGATGTCTGGTTTCTTCTCTTTCATGTTCATCTGTCAATATAAAAATATTTTGAACAAAATTTTACTTTTAGGATATGCATAACTATACAGCAATAAATGTAATATACAAGGGCATATTAGATTCTACATATGATTTTAAAAAAAGTTTTGCCCAAGCATTTCAATACACAGTGCAACAAGAATTAAAACATGGATATGGTGATCCTGCTCTTTCTCATCATTTTACCAAAATGTCTGCAAAAATATTGTTGGCAAATGTTATGCAATGCAGAAAAAGTGTATTCTCCATCTAAGTAGCATTCCAGATCAGTTTACATGGCTTCATTCTGAATTCCACTTCTTCCAGACAGAATGACAGGCTAGATGTAAATCCAGGATCAAACAGTATAAGCATATTATCATTTTTATTGTTATAACAGATTCTGATACATCAATACACAGTGACAGCAGGAGTATCAAAGTTGATAATTCCTTGAGTAGCCCCACTGAAATCCACTTTGTTTCACTGAGACTACTTGAGGAATAAGGAGGTCAAGTGATATGGTCACATCATTATACATGCTAGTAGTGCCGCATACAACTAGATATTTCTGAATCGAGCATTTATATATATTTATTTACTTCATGGATTACCCCCTCAACCTAACCATTGTTAGTTGGCCAATTTCTAACAACCATCATGGCAGAAATGAGTCTTGAGCGGGTAGTTATTTTAAAGATAAATTCAGGAAAGGTGTTCCATATGTAAGAAATGGCATAGAAGAAAGTGTGAAGACACTTCTGAGAAAATCAGTCAAATGGACCATCAAGACTGACACTGTTGGTAAAGACGAGGGAACATGAGGCTGATGTGATAAACGACAAGAACAGATAACTAAGATGAGGCAACATTGTGAAAGGCCTTGAAGGTGAGAACAAAACATTTGAATTTGAGGCAATGGAAAACTTGGTCAGCAAAGAGATCCAAAGAGGTTTGTGTGATATAGTTAGTGCAACAGGCAAAGAAGATTATTTTAGCACCTTTGTTTTGTATGGACTAAAGGGGGATGATGTCAATGTTTTAGCTGTGTGAACAGAAAGAAAAGATCTTATTTTAGAAATGTTATGAAGGAAAATACAGCAGGATTCGCACCTGACCTAGATGTGAGCACAAGGGAGATAAAAGAGTCAAAGTTAATGTGCCAGAGTGAGCAATCACACTGCTGTGGTAGCTAAGCACCTTACAAAAATGTCATGGGTTCCCCATATAGCATAATCAATACTGATTTTTTGTTCTGCCCTGTCTTCCATTGCTGTAGAAGGAAGAATATATTTTTACATTTTTATTATTGATGGAATGCTATGATGCAAGGTTTAGTCTTGCATTTTATCCTATATGAGGCAAGATGCAGGTCATCCTCTTCTCTTGTGAAAAGAGGTTTCAAAGCCATGAGACAACTCTTAAAAAAATCTCTGCATCTTGCGCTTAAGACTTTCACCCTTGTAACTGACACAGCAGTCATGAAAGATAATGGTCAACAACGGGGCTACTCACAGTAGTAAAGTTAAATGTGTAAATATGTGCAGGATTGAGGCCAGAGAAACAGAGCAACTCTCCAGTGGTGTGGGTTCAGCAACATTGAGGGTTTTGAAGATTAATCCAGATCAAATTCAAGATTATAGTTCTAAAGTCCCAATTCAGGAAAATACTTAAGCACATGCATAATTTTAAGTACTTAAATTGAATTTAATGGGACTATTAAATTTACACATATGCTTAAATACCTTCCTGGATCAATGTCTAAATGGGTAGCCAATGTAATGTACAGAATACTAGAGTGATGCACTTATTTTGTTCTGCATTGTTTAGGAATCAAGCTGCCCCAAACAGGTCAATGTTGCTTCCGATGAATTTGCCAAAGAAAAGGTTGGGAGACATAAACGTATAACTCTTTAACAACCTTGTTGCCTTTGGGGAAAAAAAAACCCTCTGAAATTAAGACCACAAAACTAATAGCTATTAAGTCTATGGCTTATTTTCTACAGAAAACTTCATCTTAGTGAGATAAGCCATGCACAATTTATTCAAACTACACTAGAATCCATGCCAGCAGAAAGAAAGCTTTTTCTCCCATGCAGCAGTGTGCATTTACAAATGTAAAACAATATCTAAATATATTTACATTTGTTGGACTTCTCTGTGGATCGAGCACAGGTTTCCTTGAGCAGATTACACAGATGTCTTGTTGCACTGTTTCTGAAAGAAGAAATAGCTATTTTATTATTATTATTTACATAATATTACAGGGGTGCATAGTATTTTGCAGATATAAAAACGACAAGGTCCTTGCCTTGAGAAGCTCTGCAATCTAATGTCTTTCTTCAGTGCAATTATTTAAAATTATAAATAAAAATGAGAAGTGTTCAGTATGAAATTTTTTTCTATAATATTTTATTCATATTACTTACTCTTGTAGAAGATCTTTATTTTCACATATCTCATCTTCCAATTTCAAACTTAGTTTTTCATTTTCAAACTAATTTTATAAGAGACACAATTAAAAAATTAGTTATTCAAAATACACTTATTATCTAGCTCCATTTCTTTTCAAATCTCACCTGATAATATATTTTTATGTGCTGTTAATTATACCTCTTATTTTCTCTCTCTGCGCTGTTATTTCAGTCTGACTGCAATATTTAACTCTGAACCATGTTTTGTGATACAGTTTGTATGAAAGAGGGAATAAACATATCAAGTTTCACTGTACTCTTTTTACAAGTTACAGAGAAGCTTCATTTCCACGTGTTAATTACATTCTTATTTTTTCTTTGTATATATTAACTCAGTTTTTTCTTTCAAAACAAACATTCATTATTGAGAGGATAAGTTTTTACATTTTACAATTAAAAAGTGAAGTTTTGCTTGTAAAAAAGGTGAAGCTGTTGGATCAATTAGACAGTCACATTTTTTTCCACATGAGATTAATTGCTTAAAATATTTTTGTGAGCTGTGAATCATTATTGAATATTAAATTATATCAGAAATCCAAATTATGTGTGTTTACTCAGAAAGTTTTTATTCTTAAAAATATATTTTGAGGTATCCTATACAGAAACTTGCCTGTAACTCTTGAATAGCTTTACGTTGTGCTTCAATAATCTTTTTATTTTCTTGCAGTTTTCTCTCCTTCTGCTTCAGTTCAGATTCTACTGTCAGTTTCCACCTCTTGATCTTTTCAGCCTCTTTGTAGAGTTTTGAATAAAGCTCATGCATTGTCTCTATATTCTATTGAAACAGGTTTCACAATTTAATCTGAAATGCTGTTTAATTAAAAATATTCTACACATGTCTCTTAGAAATATCATAAGAATTCATATTTCTTTAATAAATTGCAAAGCAAGCTGCTCTAGGGACCAAAGTTTAAACTGATTAAATTTGGTAGCACCATTGATGCATTATTCTGAATGCTTACAGCAGCCACTAAAACCACTGTGTACCAATTTGTTTCATGGAATAAGAAATAACAAAAAAGGCATAATTACAATACAATAAAAATAAGGGAAAATTATCCTAACATACTCAGATCTTCTAACATAGCTGAAGGCAAATCCTGGCAGTCATAGATGATTACACAGGGTCAAATCCAGGCCCCACTAGAGTAAATGGGAGTTTTGTTACTAATTTCATTAAGGCCAGGATTTCACCCACTAGGTTTCCCATACCAAGTTCCAATGCCCAAAAGTCCAGACATTGGGAGTGAAATCAGTAGGACTCCAGAGAGCATATCCAAGAATTCCTATGTTTTTTCTGCAGTAGAGGGTCTTTATGTGCTGTTAATTATATCAGTCAATTAAGAACTCTAAAAAGAACTGTAGAGCACCACACAAGAAATGTAAAAAGGGACAAAGAGTCCTGTGGCACCTTATAGACTAACAGATGTATTGGAGCATAAGCTTTCGTGGATGCATCTGACGAAATGGATATTCACCCACAAAAGCTTTAACTGGGGGAAATGGGCTGAAAGTACAGTACTGTCATTCAGTTTTTCAGTAGTTCATGCTAGTAAATTATTTGGTGTTTCCATAGATTGTACTATGTATAAGTGGAAGGCTGTCTAATGGTTAGGGTACTAGCCTAGGACTTTGGAGACCAGAGTTCAATTCCCTCCTCTACCACAGACCTTCTCTGTCATTCAGTGACTGTACCTTTGTTTCCTCATGTGTTAAACACTACTTGCCTACCTCACAGGAGCATTGTGAGTGTGGATAAATACATTAAAGATTGTGAGGTGCCGAGATACTAGATTCACAGTCTGTACACTTAACTGACCTCTTCTTCTACCCCAGGCAAAAAATTTATTTTCTGTGAAACAGGATCTGAAAAAGATATTTTGATAAGTATTTTTTCTAAATAAATTTGTATAACATATAATATAATAGCTTAAAACTATGTTACAATATTTAGAAGTGTCTTCTTAGAAGACATTAAAAAGTGCATATAACTAGAAACTTAAATTTAAAGAGACTATTGTACAAGATGATGTAATTTTGGCCTTACCTGGATCTGTGACTTCACCATGGCTTGGTGTACTTGTCATTACAAAAGGCAAACTAAAATAATCTTCTGTGCACTTGTTAAAAACCTGGAAAATTTTAAAAATTAGTTTGTTAAGGTATATCTGAAGACTGGGACTGCCAATCCCAGAACAATACTATAGCTAAGGCTCTGTTCAAAATTTATTTTCCATTCCCTGTAACATTCTCAGAAAATGTGTGATGAAATTTCACAACCTAAATCTTACCTTATAAATCAATTTTTCATTTTTAGAAAATACCATAGAAATCTGATATGAGCATACCTGATCTCAAATGCTTTTAAAAACTGAGCATATCTGGAACTGATCAGTACTTGAATAAGAGACCCCCAATAAGAAAAAATAATATGTTGAACCTGTGTATATTTATGCAATAATAGACAATTGAGCTTGTGCAGGCCTCAACTAGTACTACTGACTGACAGAATATGAAATAGTTCATAATCCAATTGCTTTCAGTGGGACTATTTGTCAAGTAAGGTACTATTCAGGGTGAATAAGGATATCTGAATATGTCCTTGACATTTTATAATCCCTGGATCATTTTCTGTATTCTAAATTATCCACAATAGGCTTTGCAACTTTTATTTCTCGTTGGCTGAATATCTATTTTTTTTCTGTCATTGTTCTCAAATTATTGTAGCTTTCTGTAAAAAACAATATTGGGGGGGATGAAATTTTTCATTCTTGTTCTTAGGAGAAATATTACCATTTTTGGAAATTCTGGTAACATTATTTTTAGTTGTTTTGGAGCTATAGTTAGGCTTGGAAGGATTATATTATCAATAAGCGTCAATTTCAGCATGCACACACAAACCAACTAAAAAAATATTTCCACCTATAATCATCAACATTTATAAATAGGCAAAGTAAGAAAAACACTGCTTATTTGTTTGATTTCTGTATTTTGTATATTTCTACATGAGATACTGATAATGTTTTAATGGCTATAAATCTTTAACTTCTTGAATTTCAACATCTATTGTGACTAAATATTTACTGTCGAACCCCTCAGGTTCCCACAACTATGAAACTTTAAATCTATAAAAATGGAAAAAAATGCTTAAAACTAATTATTATCCATCAAAATTATTTAAAAAATAAACAAACCAAATTCTGCGAAGCCTAGCTACAACCATAATTCTCCCTGCAGCTTTCAGAGTGCAACGGGTGTAACCTTCCAGATGCATTATTCGGTGTATGTGTATGGGTTTTCAACCTTTTTCTTTCTGAGGCTCTCCTCTTCCCCCTTCCATGCTATACAAGTTCCCTGGTCCACTGCAACAGTTTTTCAGTAGATTAATAGCCAGGGGCGGTGTTAGGGGGTAGCTAGCAGAGCAATTTGCCCAGGACCTCACGTCACAGGGGGCCCCGCAAAGCTAAATTGCTCAGGCTTCAGCTTCAGCCAGGAGCATCGGGGCTCAGGATTCAGCTTTCGGCTCCTGTGAGTCTAACACTTGTCCTGCTCTTTGGTTTATTTTGGCAGAGGCCCTGAAACCTGCTCGCAGCCCCCTTAGGGACCCTGGGCTCCTGGTTGAAATAGGGTTGCCAACCCTCCAGGATTGTCCTGGCGTCTCCAGGAAGTAAATATTAATAGTCAATTAAATATTAGGTCATGGGATGAAACCTCCAGGCATACGTCCAACCAGAATTGGCAACCCTAGATGAGAACCACTGTCATAAAAGTACTTCAATTAGGCTGGCCTGGAGCGTCAATGTAGAAGTGACACTGACACTATAAGACACGAATAGTGCCTGACAAGGGCCTTGAACTCCTCTCCAGGAACAGGACTTCGAGCCACAGAAGGGCCTGCGCGGGCCGCTAGGACACGGCAGAGCCGTGTCTCTCCCCTCCCCCCGGACAGCACCTCATTTCACCCCACAAACC